TATGAACAATGTTGTTATGAATATCCCTGTACCAGTTTTTTTGTGGATATATGTTTTCAATTCTCTTAGTATATACCTAGGAGTAGAATTGTTGGGTCATAAGGTAACTGTCTTGGTTCTCTAGTGCTGCTATAACAGAAATACCACAAGTGGGTGGCTCTAACAAACAGAAATTTATTCTCACACAGTTTAAGAGGCTAAAAGTATGAATTCAGGGCACCAGCTCTAGGGGACGTCTTTCTCTCTTGGCTCTGGAAAAAGGTCTTTGTCTTCTTTCAGCTCCACTTTCCAAGCCCACTAGGACAGCAACTCTGCTTCTTTAGCTTTGGGTGGCCCCATTCTCCTACTCCAATTAAGTGGTGACCCCAACCCCTAGGCCTTACCAGGCCTTGTTCTTCTGTCCCTTGGGCATAGCAACCCCACTCCTTCAGCTTTGGGCAACAGATCTGGCCCCATCCCCCTGGAACGCATTAACAGCAACCCACACTCCAGAACTGATTCAGTGAAGACCTCATTGAAACCTAGGAGGCATGACCCCACCCTTTGAAACCCTAGAGGCTGTGGCTCATCCTTTGAGATCCTGGAGGTTGTGGCCCTACCCTTAGAAACTAAGGCAGCTCTGCTTCCTATGCTCCTTATCTTTTCAGCTTCTACTTCCTGGTTCTTTGACCTCTTGGCCCCTCAGCCCCTTGGGCCTCTTAGGCCAGCCCAGACTCCACCCTGCTCCAACAAGTATCACAAAGCTCTTTAGCTCTACCAGTAAGTGCCCACAGGCACCCCACAATACCAGTAAGCCTCAGCCCAAAGGCACTCAGCTCTCTTACTTCGTAGGTCAGAAAGCCTATCTCCATCAACAAAACTTGAAGGCAACCACTCTGCCAACAAGTCTCCTGCCTGAAGGCGCTCAGCTGTCTGGCTCCATGGGTCAGCTGTTGTGCCTTCTTGTGCCAGTCTCTTGGTTCTGCTGCCACCATCTCTCTGCCACTGCTTCTTGCTATCTGCGCTGTCTGTGGTGTTACAGCTTTCCTCACTTCCTTCTCAGCCCTCACCAGAATTGTCTTTGACATCTATAATTCCACCAATAGTCTCTTTGAGGCAATCTAGCCTTTTACTATTCTAAGCCCCTTAAAACTCTTCCAGCTTCTACTCATTATCCAATTCCAAAACTGCTCCCACATTTTAGGTACCTGTTAGAGAAGCACCCCACCCCTGGTACCAAATTCTGTCTTCATTATCAAACACTGCTATAACAGAAATACCACAAGTGGGTGGCTTTAACAAAAAGAAATGTATTCTTTCACAGTTTAGGAGGCTGGAAGTCTAAATTCAGGGTGCAGTTCTAGGGGAAGTCTTTCTCTGTCAGCTCTGAAGGAAGATCCTTGTCTCCTTTCAACATCTGTAGGCCCAGGATTCCTTTGAGATCTACACGTGTCTTGGCATCAATCTTCGTGATTCTAGGAGATTCTCGGTAAAGGTACCCTGAGTCCAATGGATGTGCTCAACTCCTGGCCCTTCTTTCTTCGTAGTTAGGTCCCTCTTTCTGCTCACTTCTCTCTCCTTTTATCTCTTGTAAGATAAAAGGTGACACAGTCCATATCCCAGGGAAACTCCCTTTACACCAGATCAGGGCTATGACATGAGTTAGAGTGTTGCATTCCACTCTAATCCTGCCTCACGAACATAACAAACAAAATCTAATTCTTATTTACATGACCTAATCCTGCCTCATTATCCACAGGAACAGGTTAGGGTTACAACACATAGGATAATTACATCAGATCACAAAATAGAGGACAATTACATAATACTAAGAATCATGGCCTAGCCAAATTGACACATACTTAAGGAGGACACAATTCAGTCCATAAGAGTAACTAAACACTTAACTTTTTCAGGAACTTGAAAACTGTTTTCAAATAGCTGTGCCATTTGAAAATCCCATCAGGGTTCCAATTTTTCCACATCCTTGTCAATATTTCTTATTGTCTATCTTTTTTATTAGTCATCCTTCTGGGTGCGAAGCAGATTGCTTTGTGGTTTTGATTTCCGTTTTCTTAACAAGTAATAATGTTGAGCATCTTTTCAGGTGTTTACGGGTCATCTCTATATATTCTTTGTAAAAATGTCTTTTCAAATCCTTAGCTTATTGTTTTAATTGGGTTATTTCTCTTTTATTGTTGAGTTGTGATAGTTCTTTAGTCTATTTTTATTTTCTGGATATTACACCTTGATGAGATATATGATTTCCAAATATTTTATCCCACTGTTGTATTTTCACTTTCATAATAATGTCCTTTATAAACAAAAGTCTTTAATTTTTGTGAAGTCCAATTCATCTATATTTTTCTTGTTGTTGTTGTTAGGGGCCATCAAGTCAACTCTAATTCATAGCGACCCTGTGTACAACAGAGAAACACTGCCCGCTCCTACACCAGTCTCACAATTCTTGCTATACTCGAGCCCATTGTTGCAGTGACTGTGTCATTTCCATCTTGTTGAGAGTCTTTCCCTTTTTCCCTAACCCTCCACTTTACCAAGCATGATGTCCTTCTCTAGCGAATGGTCCCTTCTGACAAACTGACCAAAGCAGGTGAGATGAAGTCTGCCCATTATTGCTTCCAAGGAGCATTCTGGCTGTACTTCTTCCAAGAAAAATTTGGTAGTCCATGGTATTTACAGTATTCTTCACCAACACCATAATTCAAAGGCATCAACTTTCTTCAATTTTATTCAATAACCAGCTTTCACTTGCATATGAGGCAACTGAAAATACCATGGCTTGGATAAGGTGCACCACAGTCTTCAAAGTGACATCTTTGCTTCGTAACACCTTAAAGGGGTCTTTGCAGCAGATTTGTCCAGTGCAGTACGTCTGATTTCTTGACTGCTGCTTCCTTGGGTGTTGATGGTAGATCCAAGTAAAATGAAATCTTTTCTCACTTGATCATTGTGTATAATTCTTTTAATACGTTTTTGAATTCAGTTTCTTAGAAATTCATTGAGGACTTTTGCATCTCTATTCATATTGGTCTGTAGTTTTCTTGTGAACTTAGGGACTTCTTAATTCTCCCCTGGACATGCACTCAGCCCTAAACATGCATGTGGCCTTCTAAATTACCAAAAATTTGTCAGAGCTTTTCAAACCCCTCTTGAATTTCTCATTCCCAAGCTTTTGCTTTTTCATTAATATCTTGATTTTTTTTTAAGCTAACATCATAAAATATAAAAATTTCATCTCATATTAAATAACATTAAAATTGTATTCATTAAAAAAGATTCTATTTGATGCAGCCAATTATTCTATTATTATAGGTCTGGCTTAATACTCACAGTTCTTCTCTTTAGCTCCCTAAGTTACTATGTTGTTGTTGTTGTTATGTGCCGTTGAGTCGGACCCGATTCATAGCAACCACTCCTTGGGTTTCTGAGGCAGTATCACTACGGAAATAGATTGCCCCATCTTCCTTCCGAGGAGTGGCTGGTGGGTTTGAACCTCCAGCCTTCTGATTAGCAGTCAAGTGCCAGAGCTCCCTAAGTTACTATGAATGTATAAAAAAATGGTTGCCAGCTTTTCTTTTAAGCTTTTTTGTTAGCCTGTTGCTTGACTCAACTCTTATTTACTGCCTCAGGAAACCACAATGTTCAACAATTGCTGTTTTCCAAAAATGCCCCCAGAGAAAAGAGTGTTCATGCAGAGTTTGTTCCAAATCAAGTCAAATAAAGACAGTATTGTGAGTGAGGTCTTCCAAGTAACCACCAGACAGGTCAAATAACAGCAACTCTCTGGCAATGGAGCTTTCAGGTTTCCAAGTGTTTTCTTTCTCATCCAGTGGCTGCCAGGCTATTGGTTTTCAAGGCTGCCTCAGAGCTGGGGAAGGAAGGATAGTAATGAAGCAAATTAAAATGGCATAAAACTCCACAAGAAAACACATGGCCACATAAAAGCCTGTACATGAATGTTTATAGCAGCATTATGTATATAGTCATAGTAGCCAAAAGGTGGAACCATCCCAAATGCCCATTAACTGACAAATAGGCAGACAAAATGTGGTATATCCATACAATGGAATATTATTCAACCATAAAAAGGATACATGCTACAACATGAATGAGTTTTGAAAACATTATGCTGAGTGAAAGAAGCCAGTCACAAAAGACCCCATGATTTAATTCATATGAATGTCCAGAACAGCAAAATCTATAGAAACAGAAATTATATTAGTGGTTGCTTAGGACTTCAGGTATGTGGGAGGAGATGGAGGGCATGGAAGCGATAGCTAATTGGTATGGGTTTTTTGTTTTGTTTTGTTTTGTTTTGTATTGAGGTGATGAAAAGGTTCCCAAATTGACCATGGTGATGATTACACATACCTGTGAATATACTAAAAGTCATTGACTAATATACTTTAAATGGGTGAATTGTGAGTACATAAATTATATCTCAATAAAATTGTTAAATAAAAATGCCACAAAGCCTGCTGTTCTTTGAGATTCAGCCAACTTTCTTGAATCAACTTTCACTAGATTACCAAAAACCAATGGTTAATGTCTGAAAAAGTTGATTCCAACAACTTTTATCAGTGTTCTTACTGCTTTTATGGAAGGGAAAATTTTGAAGGTTTTTACAGTGTTATTTTTGCTGATCTTCCACTTCTAACATCAGGTACAACATTCTGATCATATCATCCTTAGAATAAATACAACATTCTGTTACATTACCTGATAATGCTAGACACACAATACACACCAATCTTTTCTCTTTTAGTACTTTATATTTAGGTTCCACTTTCTGTTTTCCCTACCATTTTGTCCAGTCTGCTTGATGCATTTTCTTCTGCTTTCCTCCACATCTTTCATCCTCATAGCCCATCTGAGGAGGCTGTCAGCAGTGGGTGATGGGAGGAGTTAATGAAGAGCAGAAAACTCCCACTGTACTCAATATGCCACTCTCCTTTTCTGCCCTCACCTCCCTGTGATCCCTCCCTTCCTCCCCACCCCAGGTGTCCTATGTGAAAGCCATTGACATTTGGATGGCAGTGTGCCTGCTCTTCGTATTCTCAGCCCTGCTGGAGTATGCTGCTGTCAACTTTGTGTCTCGGCAGCACAAAGAGCTACTTCGATTCAGGAGGAAGAGGAGACATCACAAGGTAGGCCTTTGGGTCACTGCCTAAGAAGGGACAGCGGGTGGTAAATGGAAGTTTCAAGCAGCCTTGTCTTACAATAGTTACTTCACTAGATCATGCTTCTCAATGGGTGAGGCAGGCAAGAATAAGGATTAAAGTCCTAGCTTCCTCTTCCATAAATAATGCCCTGATCTTCCAACCCTAACACCACTACAGAAATTATCAGGTTACACCTGAAAACAGAATTGATGGAGTAAATGCTGGTGGGGCAAAGATATTAACTTGGTGATAAACCCTGAAAATGGTTCACGGAGAGATGTCTATTGTTTTATTTCTACAAAGCAGCTTTAGTTCATTGGGCTTGGTTCTGAAAGAGAATTCCACTGCAAACGGTATGATCTTAGAGTAGAATGCCCAGATTTTAGATCCCCTTGCTTCATACTTCCATGAAAAGGGCTACAAGCAGGATCCTCCCCAAGAGTGAGTTCTCTCACATTAAGAGGGGTTGAACAACTAATGAACAAAGGAGAGGCCTTCCAACCAGAGTCTGCCCTCAAGTCTTTCTAGTGACAGATTAGAGCAACCAAGGACTCATACAGTATGATCCGCACATCCTTACCACACACCTGCCATACACCAATGTCCTACAAGCTTTGGGTGGGCCACTGTAAAACAGCTGCCTATCTAGCTACAATTTACTATGACAAAGGACTCCACCTCTTCAGCTGTCCTTGGTATGCAAATACAAGTTGTTCTTTCTGGGCCCAACTTCTCTGTAAAATGGGCAAAAGAGGCATAATGGAGGACTGGTGAGAATTAAGTCAGGAGATGACAAAGTAGTTTATAGTTTCGTTCCTATTATAGGGGTGCCTGGTTTTAAATTTATTACCATCAGTATATTTCTTAAGCATTAGCAATAAAATTTGATTAACTTCTGGCAATTTACTGTAGTCAGAAGACAGACTTTCCCAGACAGAAAATGTCCATTGGGGTTAAGATAAACTATCACTATGCTTCTAAACCTACATTGGAAGAGGGAACTATCTTGCATGTAGCAAACTAGACAAGACTCTGGTAGCATAGTGTCTAAGGCACTTGACTGCTAACCAGAAAGCTGTTGGTTCAAACCCACCAGCCACTCCTCAGAAGAAAGGTTAGGCAATCTACTTCTGTAGTGATAACACCTCGGAAATCCAAAGAAGGGTCACTATGAGTCGGGTCCAACTCAACAGCACATAACAACAACAAAAACAGCTTTAATCTGTCCATTTTGTCCATTAAATACTTTGCCTCTTACTCTTAAAAAAAACTAAGCCAAAAACTGGTCAAATAAAACTGTCTCTGGGAATTATTTTTACTTTTCCCTTTTTCTCCATGGGTTATCTGCTTTTAATATTTGCTTTCGCTAGAAGAAGGTGAACACATTTGTCAGGGAGCTACTTCCTTGGGAAGACTATGTCTGAAATCTCTAGGTAGCATGGAGTTACCATATATAGCAGCAGATTGTACACTGCACAACTCTAGGGGCATCATTTGCATAGACTACAATGTGAATGGAGCCCTCTGTAGATATCCAGGTATGGTGGGGCTATAATATTTCAAAGAGTTGCTTCCATCCTCCTCAAAGGCTAGAGGAAAACAAAAGCTTTTTCTCAGGATGCCTAAAGTGTGAATAGTTCACTGTTGTTGTTGTTATTGTTGTTGTTAGTTGCCCCGACTCATAGCAACCCCTCCTTGGGTTTGTTATAGGGCCTCTTAACAAATCTATCCAGATGTGTTTGTCCTGTTCAGTTCCCTACTCACTCTCACATCATGTTTGGGAAGGATTTTTTTTTTTTTTTTTTTTTTT